AGTTTGTGTGTAACATACAGGGTTAATTGGTAAAATAATATTAATAATTCTTAAAATGACTGGTTGTTTTTCAGCACGGGGTATTCTAATTATTTTTCTAGTGAGAAAGTTGTTTACTCTGACGCAACTTGAATGTTGTTAGGGTCGTGTCAGACGGGAAGCAGCTCGACCAAAACGGATAAAAATAAACACGCATTCTCATCGCCGCGCAGGCAAACATGAACATATATTATCGGTTCTGTTTGTTGTCATATCGGACCGATAAGTATGATATCATAATTCCCTGATATCGGGCCGATAACTATCGTGCACCCCTAGTGGTTTTCCAAATGGACTTTCCAGTTTCTAAGCCACTAAATAGCAATAGATTTGCAGCCTTGACTATTTATATCTACAAATTTTGACTTATAACCAAAACAAAACATGCTTCAAGCAATCAGTTCAAGCAGGCACCACAATACTGAGATCGATGGTCCATCTGTCTAAAAACCTACTGTGCAGCCAGGCACCCTCTCCAAAGATCCTACCTAAAAGCCTGGTGGGTGCTGCAAAATAAAACTTTAAAATGTACTTTAAAACTGCTACAGCTCCTATGATTTAACTAATTCATTATGCTGATAAAAAAATTTAAAATAATCTTCAGATGCTAAAATGTGACAAAATGCGACAAAACTGGTCATCTTTTTTAATTAATCATAAGAAGCTCTTTTTTCACAGGAGCAGTCAGGACTTGCTGTGAATGAGAAACAGGAAAAGCGTGTGTGTGTGTGTCTAATAACATTACTGCTGGCTCAGTAAGCCACAGGAGTGCGACAATGATCCAACACACCCTGTAACTGAAGCAGTTAAATGGAACTGAGCCATCTAAATCCAGTCGCACAAAGGCAAACTTATCCACCTCCACCAAACAGTCAAAAAGGCACCCAGCCAACATTTTTATTCCAACCGCTCTCTGAAGCTTTGTGCTAAACTTTGCTACAAGGCTTAGATGGAAATGCACCTCGAGAGCTCTGCTGCTCCACTCTGAGGCACTTAGCTCTCCTCTGAAGGTGGCGGGACTGATTCCGACAAAACTCCTTGATGTCTTTAAAAGAGGAACACGCTCAGAACAGGTGCACACACAAAAATCATGAGGTGTCACAGACAAAATGACACGCACAGCTGGGTGCTGACACAGATAAACACAAACTTTTTCTAAAATGAACAGAAATTTGGGACGACTTCACCCAGAAACCTAACACAGAGGRTGAGCTCTGGTTCATGTGGAATAAAATATGAGTGTGTGAAACGATTTGAATAACAGCTAAACAGAGAAGCTTTCCTCCATTGTGTGAGTCAATTCTGATGATTTTAAACTAAACACAGGTCATTGTTGTAGCTCTGAAACAGACATCATGCAGTTTCTCTCAGTGGGATTCTTTTTTGTCACTTTTTATCTTACCTAAAAGCCCCGAGAGGAATATTATTTGGCTTCTGAAATGAACACATGTAGAGACTCAACATGCAGCCAAACACGAATGGACAGACAAACATTGTGTGTGCATAACTGTGTGTGACCTTTGTGCGCTGAGGCGGTTATTTGCATTAAAAGGGAGGGTTCTGGAAGAGCGAATAACTTAGGTAATACTTGGGTATTTCAGCATGCTGCGGCATGCTTGTTCTCAGTTCTCTCTCATACACACAACATCCTATCAGTCATGTTTGACAGCAGTGTGTTGTATGTGTGCGTGTGTAGTTTAGTAGTTTGTCTGTATCTGACAGGTTTATTACAGCAGGCTAGTGGTGCCTTGTGCATTCTCTTAAAGAGGCTGTTTTTTCACCTGGAGGATTCAATTAATCTGAGCAGGGACGTGTCCGAGCCACATCTCCTCTCCAACACACACACACACACACACACACATGTGCAAGGTTATGTGCCTTGAATGCATGATATAAACACACACTTGTCACAATAATTTAAACAGAAACACCAACCAAGCAGCATGGAAGACAAACTGATGCCAGCTCTACGTTATTCACACAAATGCTGACTGAGGCACGTTTTTGCTACATTGTGGGAACCAATTTCCAGAAAAAGACAGCCTTTGTGGGGACCGAATGTGCATCCTGGGGACCAATGTCCGGTCCCCACGGGTGCGGATGCTAATTTCGGGTGGGGGGTTAGGTTTAGGACCAAGTGTGAATTGAGTTAACGTTAGTTTTAGGGTAAATGGTTGGGATTAGGCTACACATTTACCAACAAAAATGAATGGAAGTCATTCCACAGTCCCCTAAGGGATATAAAAACAAACCTGTGTGCATGTGTGAGTAAAACTTTATGAAAGGACAACTGCAGGTTTACCACATTTATCTAACTCTATATGAAATATGCTGAGGTCAAGATAAATCTTTTCTTTTCTCTCCACAATCCCAGGGGAAAACCCTAGCCATAACTGAACTAAGCACAATCACATGCTCCAACATCCAATCCTCTCATCTGCACGCACGCACGCACGCACACACACACGCACACACACACACACACACACACACACACAGCTCGGCTCGGCTCAACCTTCCCCAGACAAAACATTGCTTTCCACCTTACAGATGGTACCCATTTAGCGCTCCTCTCCCATTTGTCTCGAGCAGTTTTCATCTGCCTCCATTGACCACTGTTCTCCAAACTCACCACAACACCCACATGTATATACAAGAGAAATGTTCCAAGGACTGACATTGTAGTCTCAGAAACTTCTGATCGCTGTGTCCAACATTTGCTATAATGCAACTATAAACACTTTGTTATCTTGCTATGACAATAATTCATTTATTTCATTTAAAACAAAAAAAATACATGCAATGCAACATTAGATTTGTTGGATTTAAAGCGACCTCTAGAGCCAGTAAAAAAAGCACTTAGCATTAAAACKGACACTCACAGTACAAGCTTTAATTATTTAATCTCAACACCYGAGTGCACAGTTCTGAATTCTTGATGCTTTGCATTCCACTATATGGTACACTCTGCTGCCACTGCAACAGTTCACAGTTTTAGGGGGGGGTGAAACCATCCCTGGCCTTGTCTCCGTGTTGTAACACGGCTGCTCTCAGAAGAAAAAAAGGACAACAGATGGCCTCCATCTGATGATGCAAACACCGGCAGACCTCCAGTAGACAGAGYACCATTTACAGGCCTTTTAGCATCGATAAACACAAACTATACCTCATCATATTCATAGAACTGGGTAGAATCTTGAATTGGGTGATGGGCAGATGRCCTAATTTGCTCCAGAATGCATGAGCTCAGCACCTCTAATGTGAGCAAACTATATGCAGCTTGACGAAGTGTTTAAAACAGATTAAAGCTGCTCCATAACACAAAATATTATAAACTCTCCTTGGGGTAAAGAGTTTAACCTGCAGCTGTAAACACTCAAGTCTCTTATTAAAGGCACCGACAACAAAAATGTAAAATAAATATCTTGAATTCCATGAAACAACAACGTCTTGACACTTTCGGTTGCACATTATGTCCAGCTCAATCACAGCAATTCAACTGGCACATCGTGAACACTTTGTAATTACTGGGTAATTATTACATAATAAGGCTGCAGAGTATTATTACGAATGTGGGACTGAGATCTCAATTGGTTTTGGTTAATGTAATGTGTGGGGATTTGATATRGAGGGCCGTCATAAAGCTAAACGACCTGTAACGTAAAGCGGTCTGTTTCAATGTGTGTGTGGTGGGAGGGATAGAAGAAGGTCAGCTTGTAGGTGTGATAAAATGAATCCTGTTTTCTTTTTTAAGGAGTGTTTAAACTCCACAGTTTGAGTGGTTGGGTCAAATCCACCAAACAGCACTCACCACACCCCTGGCTGTGATTCAACTATGTTCCACACGAGCATGTTGTCTGCACACACCACAAGCACTTTTCAGCTCATTTTACAGGAGGAGGGAAGGGGGAAACAAACAAACAAAAACAAAACACGGGAATATCACGTCATCTGAACTGAAACATGCCGCTGCAGAAGCGCGATTAAGTAAACACTGTATCCTAAATAAGATTACTGCCTGGGAATATTCAGAGGGCTGCAGGATCTGTTCGAACGGCAGCAATAAACTGCACCCTGGTACATCTCCCTGCCACAATACACCCATCAATCATCCCAACCCCACCACCACCCCTGCTGTGAGCCGATTTCATCTCTGACACCTTTTCATGTTTGTGTGTGAATAGAATGTGTGGGCTTTGTCAGGGTGTCAAATTAACGCTTCATCAGATGCTATGCCCTTTGAACACTAGAAACCCTGCGCATCTCGCTCCAAAGTTATCCAAAAGTGGAAAATTGTTATTTTTATTACTGCCTTTGTAGCTTGTACGTTGGAGAGAAACCAGATAAAGTGTATTGGCAGTAAAACAGGCTTGCTTCTTACTCCAACATGATAGTTTTACAGAACAGTCTGCAAACATGTAGAGCAATTTTCCTATCTGAAAAATGTTTATTTAAGGCTCTTTAAACACAAACAGACATTAGGAYAGTATGCGACATACCTGCATGTGTGCATGATGGAAGTTTACAAACCCGCTTTATTTAAATGTTCTCAGGGTTTTCAGACAGACACTGATGGGTTAAACACGTTTGCTTCAACAGAAACACTGCTGTAATAATCCACATGCAATCAAAGCCCTATTACCACCTGACCCTCACACACTGCTGCAACAACAGCTCCACCACAACACTGTTTTTTCCCTCAGTGTGTGTGTGTGTGTGTGTGGGGGGGGGGGAAATAGCCAAGTAATTTTCCGCTACTGAGAATCCTTTACATGATCCGACACATGTCCCAAAAAAGCCTTTAAAAAAGGCCTTTCATCCGCATGAAATCCTAAACTGTCTTCTCATGCAACTGCATCAGAGCTGTGTCCGCGTATGGAAAAGCACAAAAACTGAGCGCGTTTTAAGTTAATATATGAAACTGTCGTGCATTTCAGCAGTCAAACATCGAGCTTACTTACCGTGGTGTGGATGTAGGTTGACGGCCGAAGACAAATATTTCCCGGAGTGGAGAGGCGGCGGGTGGCTCGCACCCAAGTGGCCGGGCGAGGGAGGGATCCTCCCGGCCGCGGCCGCTGCTCCGAGTCGGTGAGTCTCCATCGCGAGCCCCGACAACAGCGGAGGAGGGACGTGGACGGATCGAGAAGAACCGAAATCTCTGCCATCCATTATCCACAGAGGGGAAAGTTCGTTCGGATAGTATTCCGCAGGAACGAAAAATAGCCAGTTTGGGGCTATAATAGTAATATTAATGTCTTTAGTTTCCCACCAGGCGATTCGGACTCCTTTTCAGCCATGCTGCTGACCTAAAAAAAAAACAACAACAACGAGAAATAATGACTCGATAAGAACCGAGCATAAGACTAACCTGGTTAAAGAGAGTTCATAGTTTTAGGATTGGTCGTTTTTAGCGAAAAAGGCGAGCCGTGTGAGCAATGACGCAGTTTAAAAAAAAACACCAAAAACTAGCTCAGCACTGAACCTTTAGCTGGACTTTGTGAAGACCCCTCATCAGCTGCCCCCGATAAACTCTTTAAAATACTTATATTTGTTGTTTTTTTTAATAATTTCTTGAATGCAGCACGCCGCCCCGAGTCTGTGAACCGAGCGTTCAGCCGCTGTGGAGCTTCGCTACCCGGGGAGAGAGCCGGGAGGAGCGGCCGAGCAGCTGCTCCCGCTGCCCGCCATTAAAACATCCCCGGACCCCGCGATGAAACCCACCCCGAAAATACCCCGTTTTAATCATTTATCCCCTCCTTTCCGAGCTCATATAAGAACGACGGAGTGGATGCGTGTAAACCAATACACCATAAATACTGGAGGAGCATCAAATATAAATTTCAAACAGGTTAAAAATAAATAAAGGTGAAAAAAAAAAGRCTGCGTCATTAATCAGCGGAGTTTGCGGTGTTCTGCTGCCCGCACATGTAACCCTGGGGGGGTTACTTTACCATTTGGACCTCGGTGCAGCCCAGAAACCAGAACCCGAACAGCATAAACTGCATAATAATACCCAATATGCATGAATCCGCATTAAGATATGCGTTTTAAATCATAAAACTTGATTTTTTTTTTACATTAACTTGAAGCAAAAAAATCTTTAAACACTTAAAAGAAAAAAGGTGTGCGCAGAAGTACTTAAAACTACAAAAACAATATAAAAAGTTCGTTTAAAAAGTGTTAAAATACAAGCAATTTATATTTTCTTAGTTTTATACATGGTATGGTTTTAGGTTAATATTAAATGGATAACATTTTACAGGATATATCATTAAGGCTGGGAAAAAACATACAGGTAGTCATATAAAATCTGGCGAGATGTGAGGAAAAGGTTCAGAAAACACAATAAATGTTTGTTTTTTTCCCTATAGAAAAACAGAGGATAATGTTGCCTTTAATGGCTCTGAAAGTGACTCGGAAAAGTAAGCTACGCTGATGGTCTTCGGCCGAGCCGTGCTCCCCTGCGGCACGGGGAGAGGGACGGCAGCGGGCGGAGGAGCTCCGCATATCAGCCACGTTTCAAACTTTTTTTTTCCCACGGCTCCATTAAAGACACGCAGAAACTTTTCGCAAAAGGAAACCTCTTGAAAGTCCGTGTAAGCTAGCCCGCTAAAAACAAACACTTCGAACTTAAAAAACCTCCGCGCCCTTTTTTTCCTCCTATTTTTCTTTTTACTCGTTAACGTCCCGAAAATAATAAGGTTTAAAGAATAGTTGACCTTTTTTTTTTTTTAGCGAAGAAGAGTAAAAAAATTTTATATCAGCCCTATTGCGCTTACTTCACTGGTGAGAAATGTCGAAGAGGAAGCTAAAAWTGCCAGCGTTTCTCCAAAAATCCATCTAGGCTGCTGATAAAACTGGAGTAGTCCATGTCGATCTGGTCCGAAGGTAAACTGGGGAATAACTGGAAGGAGAGAGAGAGAGAGAGACAGAGAGAGAGGGGGGCAGGCCCTACTCAGCAATGAAACGCAGCATTGTTTCACAAGCCCCACCCCTTCCTCCACTACCGCAAACCCTTACATTTGATTGGCTGAACGCACGTGTCAATCACGTCAACTCTCCAGCGTATAAAAAAGAAAAAAACAACAACGCGCTCTGGCCACTCTCCAACAGCATAAAACCAATTATGGAGCAAGGAGGCTGAGCAGTTTCAAGGTTCCCATCTCCCTTCAAGACTGAACGATCAAAACAAGCAAAAAGAAGGGTCCTCTTTAAAAAAAAGTGCGTGTTTAAAGGAATAGTTCAGCTATTTTAAGATGGATTATGTGAAAAAGATAATAACATGCTTGTTCCAGAGCTATTTTAACAGCCTTATTATGACAAGACTGAGGATTTCATTCAAATGCTATTTAATGAATATTTACACCACAATTAGTTTTATAGTTGTCCTGACAAAAATATGAAATTCATGTCATGTGATCTGTTAATGCTTTGTGTTGGGAGTGATTCTCAGCTACTACCACACCAAGTTTTAGTTCAATATTTGTAAAACACGTTATTTTTGTGTTTAATAACATCAGTTAGCTGTGGCAGCCAATGCGCATTGGGCCTATTCCAAAGGTTAATCAGTTGCATCAGTTTCATTAATCCATTCATATATGAGATATTTTGCTTACAGGACAGACTTCATTGCCTGTTTTTACATTTTGAAGTCAGACAATAACTATAGCAGTACCTCTTCAAARTGAGATTGTTTCAAAGAGCTATCTACAACAGGTAAGATATTATAACTCTTCCAATCTCACGTTAATATGACTGAAGTACCCCCTTAAAGCCAGTGAGCCCCCACCCTTTAGATCCTGCAAACTGCAGGTGAGGRGCAGAATGTAGGTTATGTGCATGCAGTAAACCTTAAAATATCCCATCAGCAGTACAGGTCCTTAACGTGGACTTCAGCTATCACCAAGAAGGAGTGAATCATTAATTTGGCTACAGTAATGAATTACTTTCTCTGAGTTTACTTCCTGTTTACCGTCCAGAAAACCTGGAAATAAAAACTCAGAGTTAACAATAGTGGGAGTTCTGACACTGTGGTTTCCCTTTTTTAAATTTATTTTCAGTTTATGTTGTTTGTTTTTTGACAGGTAAAATATATGATATACAGTACAGTTGGCTCATTTGGGAGATGAGCTACAGATTTTTAATCTAATATTTATCTTTATTAATATTTTACCCTCTAGATTCACACTGAAATTTCTTAAATTCATTGAAAAACATCCTTCTCTTTTATGTTTGCTATTTTCTCTTTTTACTTTTTAGCTGTTATTTTGATTATTTTTGCTAGCCTTTTACTACTGTTAGCTTTTAGTTACCATTCTGCTACTGTTAGCTTTTAGTTAGCCATTTGCTTCATTTACCTTTTGGCTAGTATTTTGCCCCATTTGGCTAACTTTATGCTTCTTTTAGATTATAGTTACATTTCTGCGATTGTTATTTCTGAAACTATTAACTTTAGCTAGACGTTTGCTACTTTTGACTTTTGGCTAATGTTCCGGCTACTTCTGGCAAGCCCTTTTTTAAATTTTATCTACCATTCAGATGTTAAGTATATCTAGCCTATTGCTGCAATTAGCTTTTGGCTTGTGTTCTCCTACTTTTGGTACCCTTCACTACCTTTAGCTTGTAAAATACCAATCAGATACCACCACCATGTACCAAACCCTTTGCTACATTTGGTTTTTGGTTAGTGTCTTCCTTCTCTTCACTAGCCTTTTGGTACTTTTAGCTTGTAGTTACCATTCTGCTACTCTTACCCTTTACTAAATTTAGCTTTTGGCTAGTGTTCTGCTACTGTTAGCCTTTTGTTATTTGTAGTTACCATTCTGCTCCTGTGCGCTTTTAGCTAGTCTTTCACTACATTTAGTTTTAACAACTTCAGTACATATCATTAGCCTACAGTTTTGCATAAGCTGTTAATTTTTGCAGTAATTGTCTTTCTCTAGAATGATTTATCATCATTTAAGACTATTTATCATATCAAACATTGTCATTGTTGTCACCTTCACAGAGCTGCAGGCCTTTCTTGGTTCTTTAAAAATGATCTCTCTTCCAGAGGAACTAAAGACAGGCTTTTCGGAATATGCAAATGAAAAACAAACCCGCAGGGCTGGAGGTGACAAACGCTGCGTGCCTCCTCGAGTCGTTGAGTCCAAGACTGCGCGGGAACAAACATTTATTTGCATAAGAAGAGGAGAAAAAAAGTGCTGTAGCCCTTCCATTTAGTGCTACTTATGTTAAAATTCAGAGGAAGGCGTGATGGAGGGGGTAAGATGGGAGGGAGGGGGACATCTATGGTGTTAACTCGTAACCCTGCCCCCACCTTCTGTATGACCTTGCTGTTCCTCCTCGCGCTCAGCACAGTTGGATCGGGGAATTTTTATTATCCATAAGTTTTCTTTGAAGTACACCGCTCTGCAAAAACCTTGATTTAAAAAAAAATGTCCGAGACGGTTTCAAGCTGCCCATGATGCCCCGCCCCCCCGCAGTCTGACGGTTTCAAGGCCACCTTTCCTTTTTCTAAAGGGGGCGGGGCTTGTGCAGCTGCTGAGAAGAAGCGCAGGGGAGCGACAGTTTTCTCACATTATCCCAGCGGTGAGTCTCTTCACTTCCATTTCTGGACCCAGTCGAGTCGGAGGTGTGGGGGAGGACGCTCCACTACAACCCTAACCTCCGCTGACCTGTCTGGCCGTCGCCTCGTCACTCCTGACGGGACCCGGGGAGGGAATTACCAGGCGGAGATCAGAGCGATGTCCCGAACCGTCCGAGGGGGGACCGAGCCTGGCCTTTGTTCTCCAGATCTCTCCGACTGGGAATTCAGACAACGCCTTCAAATTAGGGCTCCATTGTTGTTGTTTTTCACCCCCGGGAGAGGAGGTGAAGGAGGAGAGGGTACAGATTCTCCTTCTTGTTTTTCATGTCAAAATATGCGACTTTCATGGGTGTTATATAGCTTCTCTCTGAGGTGGGTTGGTGTTCTGTMGAACAATTTTACAAAACAAATTATGAGATTTTTCCACATATTTAAATTGAATGCAGTCAGAATCAAACTTGTGATTTGATTGTTAACTAATGGACCCAGCATAAATCCAAAACGTAATTTTCATTTATGTAATAAAATCTTTTAAATTTAAATAAATATTTTTTTATTAAACAATCATTTTGTGGATAATAGTGTCATGTTCTTTTTATGAAATTTAATATTGAAAGAATTTAATATGAAATTTTTACTGACCAAATGTCTTCATGGGAGTTAACATTTGCCATAAAAGCAAAACAAAAATAGAGCATACAAACATTTTTGGTGTTGGTTTATTGTCTTAATATAAGGTGCATATGGTAAAAAGAGTTTTTAGAAGCACATTGTCAGCCACATCATATCTCTGCTGTGACAGAATAGCAACAGATCTGAACATTTTCACTTGGAATCACTGTAAAAACACAAGCCAAAAGTGTTGGTTATAGTAACTAAAAGCTAAAAGTAGCACAAAGTTAGAAGCAAAACAAATGCTAAATGCAGCAAATGACTAGTTAAAACTAACAGTAGAACATGGTTGACAAAAAAGCTAAACATTAGCCAAAAGCTAAATGTAGCAAATGGCTGAAGCTAACAGATGCAGTATGCTAACTAAAAGTAGCAGAAGTAAAAGAAGCAGAAGAGTAGCCAAAAAAAAAATGCAGCAAATTGCTAGTTAAAGCTAGCAGCAGGAGGGGGAGTGGGTAACTAAAAGTAGCAGAAATCCTGCAACATTTGAGCAAGGTCCTGATATTTATGTGGCAGTTTGTAAACAGCATTGGTATAAAAATATATCTATATTTTTAAAATCTGCAATGAATTTCCACAGTCACAGAGCTGTATTTGTTTTTGTTGAAATTTGTGTAAACTCCCGGCAACCTGTGTCCCACATTTCACAGAGTTTGAGCAAAGCTGTACGCGGGTGTCTCCTATTAGTTTCAGTGAGATCCTACTGTTCAGAGTCAGGCCGAGACATTTCTGCTGCATTCGTTTGAGGATGGCCCAACTTCTGACCCGAGCCTGTTTTTTTTTATGAGAGAATGGTGGAAAAAGTACAGAGAAGCCATGATTTATGGCCTAAAACTCTCTGCTGAGTCAGTAGCTGTTAGACCACATTTATTCCTCCTTTACTCCACAAAAAACAAGTTTTTTATTCTGCTGAATGAGAACATTTGTCATGGTTGACTCAGACTGTGTTTGCTTCCATCTCCTGGCTCTCACAGCAACCTTTAGCTGATGGCTCAGGGTTAGGCTACAGAAAGGAATGGAAGTCAATACACGGTCCTAATAAGGATAGAAACATGTTTAAAGAGGAGGAAATGAAGAATGTTCGAGCAAATTTGCAGAGTGTGAGATGTGCACTTTTTTGTGGCTGCCCCTGACTCGTGGTTACAGCTCAAGAAAAAAAAAWTTTTTTTAGAACACCCATGAAGCCTTTAATGCAACCATACAGGAACAATGATGCAACACACACTCTGCAGAGGGTAACAGTTCAGCTGTTTCACATGTACTTTGCCGCTTTCCTTCTTTTCCAGTGAAGAATTAAAGCAGCAACACGCTCACTTTCATAATGCCAGTGTTCACATCTTCATCATTGTGATGGTAATGTCACACCCTGCTAAATAAATAAAAAAAAGTCACCAGGTTTAAATATCTGTATGATGTTTTTTTTTTCCTGCTGGCCTCCTTATGTCAGTTGGAGTAGCCCTTTATTTGCCTTTCACCAACTTTACATGTCTGCAGTGAAACAGCACCACCTCCTGGACAAGTATTGAAACTGCAAGTTATTAAGCTATAATATTTCAATGGAAATTTTAGGCACTAATCATTAACTTTTAGAGTCAACCCTCAACATAAGGMGATGCTAGTCTAAAACTCTGACGTGCAAGGTG